GACTAGGGTGCGAGAAGAAGAAGATGGAGAGAAATGGGCCTATGTTGTGCTCCTCAGGATCTTTCCCTCATAAAGCTCTAACGAAGGGGAAACGGCAGTGGGCACACCATGTCATGCGGGAAGTTAACTCTACCCATTTCCCACTAACGCATGGTTAAGGCATGCAGGAATCAAGGTGTGTCGTCAATGACGCTAGCGCATGAGACATTCTGTCTGGTCAAGTTGTAATGACCGATGGGGCGTGGCCTTAATGGGGCCCATGGTCCTTTGCACGCCTGGTTGACCAATGGCTATCTCAAGCAGCTAGACCAAAGCCTGATCTTGTCCTCCTCCTAGGTTGGACCTCCATTTGAAATGTTGGTAACTGTTCCTTGGGAAATTGACCCGTGGAAATCATCTTAGCGGGAAGAGATTTCCAAGGAGTTTGGTTGTCTACACCAACAATTCAACACGAGATTTGCCATCCATTCAGATGGGCTAGGCTAGTTGGTAGAGAGAACCTAGAGATTATTCTCAATCCCTCAATCACCATTGTACACCTACATCAATCAATATACATGAGCAAGAAGTAGGGTTTTACCTCGACCTTGAGGGCCTGAACCTAGGTAACCCGTCTTTTGTTCCCCTCTAGTCTACTCGTCTAGCTGAGATACGTTGTTGAGGGATCTGCTGGAAATAACTCCGATGGTTAGAGTTGGCTCGGTGCCTTACAAATTACAGCTGCCCTTATGGTCTGTCTCCACTACATGTTTCAAGTTACCTTGCTAAGGGCATCTCCAGCCGTTGGCCCCCCAGGGGGCGTCTAAAAGCACCGCCTGGGGGTGAGCCGGCGCAAAAAATGGCCCTGGGGGCGAGTCGGTCCCCAGCCGTCGGCCCCCAGGGCCGCCCCCAGGCGCGTATTAAAAAAAGAACCGTTCGGCGAAGTTATGATATAAACTAGTTAAATTTCGGCCAAACATGGCAAATTTTAGCGAAATTCGGCCAAACATTACATTAATCTAATCTAAAAAAAGAAAGGGGCTGAAGTCGTCGCCGCCGTCGCCACCATCGTCGTCGTCGGCCTTCTCCTCCTTGACGCAGGTGCCCCTGCTGGACCCCTGCCCGGCGTCGCCATGGCGAGCAGGCGGCGGCGTGTCGTCGTCGTCGCTGTCGCATAAGACGACGACCCCGCCTTCCTCGTGGCCGCGTCGGCGCTCCTTGAAGCGGCGTAGGGCGGCGCACTGGCGCTCCTTCTCCTTCTCGCGACGCGCCTTCTCCATCGCAATGGAGTCCTGGCGCGCCCATTCGAGGGCCGCGTCGTCGTCGGCGAACTCCGCCTTCACCGGCGCCAGCCCCGGCTCCGTCTTTGGCTTGACGAAGCGCGGGGGAGCCGGCGAGGAGGAGGCGAGGAGGAGGCGCGCCGGCCGCCCTCGTTGATGACGATGCCGGCGCTGCGAGTGCGCCGGCTGAGCGGCGTCTCCGCCGCGGGCTTGGCCTTGACGCCGAGCAGCGCCGGAGAGCCGGAGGAGTGTGAAGAAGAGCGTGATGAGGAGGAAGAAGAGGAGGCGCCGAACCTCCCTGGCGCCCATGGCCCGGCGCGTCGGTGCTGCGCCGGGGCTGCCACCCTCGCCGGGGGGTACGCCAACGGCGGGTCGTTGCCGCCCTCGAGGTACGTGAGCACGCCCTCGAGTGTGCGGCCGGGGACGCCCCACTAGAGGTGGCGTCCCTCGCTGTTCTGCCGGCCGCCGACCACCGGCGCGCCGTTGGTGGACGCCAAGCGCTGCTGCTGGCGGCGCTCGAAATACGCCGCCCAGGCCGCGTGGTTGTCAGCGGCGTACTGGGGGAGGGAGAGTTCGGCGTCGGTGAGGGATGCGCGCACGATCTCGACCTCCTCGGCGAAGTACTTCAGCTTCGCCACGCCGTCGGGCAACGGGGGAATGGGCACTCCCCCGGCGCTGAGTCTCCACCCTGTTGGCCCGGCGCGCATGTCCGGCGGCGCTGGGATGTTCGCCTGGAACAGGAGTCAGGACTCCTGTTCGCGGAGCGAACGGCGGCCGAAGCCGTTGGCCGCCGCCTCGTCTCCGGGGAAGCGTTCTGCCATGGCGACGGCAGGGCTGGGCGGGCTCGGGAGAGGTAGAGGGAGGGGCTGGGCGGCGGCGCTCGGGAGAGGTAGGAAGAGGAAGGGGCTGGACGGCGGCGAGGGGCGGGCTGGTGTGGGCACAGGCGAGTGGAGGCCGCCGGCTTTTATAGCCGGGCCGCGCCCGTGTGTACGCGTGCGAGGGAGGGGAGGCGTCGGCGCGCCGTCCCGTGACGCGCCGCACGTGAGGAATCAATGGCAAGGCTGACCGGCGGCAGCCTTGCCATTGATTCCCCGCGGGAACTGAGGCCGTTGGGGGAAGACGAGGCGCCGAGTCGCTGACGCGGCTGGCCCGCGTCTTTTTTGCGCCAAAACAGCTTGCCCCGGTGCCCCCGGGCGCTCCCCAGCGCGCCGGGTTCGCCTTGGGTCCGCCGGCGCTGTTTTCGGCCCAAGCCGGCGAAAATCGGGCTCCTGGGGGCGCGACTGGGCCGTTTTTTCGGCGCCGGCGCGAAAAAATCTCCTGGGGAGGCCTTTCTGGGGCGCGGCTAAAAATGCCCTAAAGGTTTACCATGGTGAATCACAACATATACCTCCTCGACCCGCGATAGATCATGGAAGGGTCATTCCATCACCTCCTAGTCATTGGGAAGGAGCTGCTTCTTCTGAAGCTTCTTGGGAAAACATGGTAGAATTTCAATGTTGATCACTTTCAAGCTTGAGGACGAGCAACTTGTTGAAGGCAGGAGTAGTGCCATGTGCGGGCAAGCAGTATCGCGGTAGTTACCAGATTCGTGATTCGCTCTATTCACGATTCGAGCTCGTGGTTCGTAATTCGCTACCTCATACAAATGGGATTTCTTAGGGGTTATACATCTCTGATTTGCAAATAAGAGATTGGGTTGGCGATTTCACGGTTTTCGATTGGCAACACGGTTATAGCTATATAGAACACATAGTTAACAACAATGGAAGATCCTAAACTCGATAAAAGGAAAATCATATGCCTAAATTTTTTGAGGGGAGCGGGACAGATCCTATGTCTAAATCGTACTACTATCCCCATCCTGATTTATCCGTCTCCTTCGTATTTTGTACTAAATTTTGATCATAGATTTAACTAACAAAATTTTAATGCATGTCACAAAAATTATCGTATTTGAATATAGTTTTCAATGATATCATTTTTTAGATATGCATTAACATTTTGTTAGTTAAATCTAAGATTAAAGTTTGGCACAAATTATTAAGAGAACCAATAAATCAAGACCAAGGTAGTACATATGTTTTCTTAGACTATCCATAGTGGGAGTAACTTCAGTAGTAACGTCGAGTCCAGCTCAGCAAATTTGCTTATGTGGCAATGAGTTAATGAGGAAAGAGGTAGTAGTAGTAACTTAGCTAGTTACTATAACATCACATGTATCAATGCAATATGAGTCTATAACATAATAAATAAAGATTTACATGTTACCACACTTATGTTACTACCCACTATGAAGGTAGTAATATAGTCTAGGGATATGTGTATGTTACTAGTGTATGTTACTCTTCATTGTGGCTAGTCTTAAGGAGGGAGTACCAAAAAAATGGGGAAAGTGAGATTTAACCCCTGCACTCTCGCTACGCGCAGTTACAGCGCCATGGCCGCCACCATGACACAAACATCCGTCTCCCGTTTTCCGCCACCTCTTCCTCCAACTTCAAGTTCCTGGCCACCCCTCACTCCGCGAGAACCACCGGACGTACCTACCCATCTGTGCGCAGGTCTCCAGCACCGATGCTTCAGCCGCTGCCTCGCGCCGGCCAACGAGTATCCCCCGCCCCATCGCGTGTTCCTCGTACACCGATGGGCAGAGGAGTGAGCGCTCTATTTCGGATCGATTGTGGATTCGGCGAATCGGCGAGCGAGCACAGGACGGTCGGGGCGAATTCGAACCCCGATCTGGATAGGTCGATGGGGATCGGAGATTCGGAGTTCGACGCCTCTTCTAATCCGGTAACTATATCACTACCACCACTACAAAGTCCAGGACCTGCCAAACCATCATCAAGAGCTAAATCCTAAGATTAATGTTATCTAGAGCTTCAAGTCTTGTTAATTTGGTTAGTTTGGATTCTGTTAGGGTCGTTCCTTTTTCTTTACTAGATTGGATCGTTCCTTCCTACATACTGTAGTTGCGAGCAGCTATGCCAAGTAATCTGGTATCTACTCGCTCCGTTCGGACTTGTCACACAAATAGATGTATCTACAACTAAAATATATCTAGATACATTCATTTCTTGGACGAGTAATTCGGAACGGAGGGAGTAAGAAATAAGCCAGAGCCCAAACAGCCTCTCCCCCGCCCTCCAACATCCCACGATTATCCCCACCGTAATCTAGGTTGTGACAATCACCAACACCATTTTGAGAGTTAGCATGTACTCTCTCCGTTCCGAATTACTTGTCGCAGGTATGGATGTATCTAGATGTATTTTAGTTCCAGATACATCCATTTCTGCGACGAGTAATTTGGAACGGAGAGAGTACCAGCGTTGATTATGGAGTAATTTGTATGGCTTAAAACATCAACATGAAAGTGACACACGTCATAAGAAGGATAGCTTAAGCCAGATGTTACACTCTTTAGCATCTCATTATTGACCTTATTTTTTCTTGAAAACTAAATATCATTTCCAATATTGTTTGCATATCTTGATGTTCATGAACTCTCTGACAAGACACTGCATTCTTGGCGTTTTATATTCAATATCTCATTATCGTTTTTATTTGTCCTTCAGAAGTATTTATCATTTCCAACATATATCTTGATGTCCTTGATCCCTCTGACAAAAGATTGCATTCTTGGCGCTCAAGAAAATATGTGTAACATCTTTATTTCTTTTGTCAGAAAAATAATTTTTAAGTTCTAACTTTAGTTTTCTTATTATATGTGTGATTCAGCTTGCAGAAATCGATTGACCGCTATAAGTCTTATAGGAAGGATAATAATGTTAATAACAAGACAGTACAGCCAGATATACAGGTGAAGATCCTAATATGTCAACTTTTTTGTTGATTAAGACTTGAATAATCCATTACAATCATGTGAATATCTGGCAAGTGATATCAAGTTATAGTACATCTCCATTTTGTATATATTAAGGCCTTCTTTTTCAGAATATAGCCATAACACAGTATAGCAGTGATGCAATTTGCTTGTATCTTACATCAGTATATTAATTTGTCAATGACCTGCGTGACAACTAAATATATTGATACACGCCACTGTATATTCAATTGATACGTAATAGCTAAATTAAAACCTGCACGACCCTTATAATGTATATAATGTAGGAACATGATCACAATATGCTCTCTTTAATACTGTATTTGTCATGTTGACCAATGACTGGATACTCTTCTACACCTTCAATGAATACAGCAAAACAAATGTTAATAGAATGGTCGTGCATCTAAACCCTCAAAGATTGTGCAATTCTTCATTTAACCAATTAAAAATCAGGAGCTATAGCTGTTGTTGCAACTAACTTATGCCAGCTCACTATTGCAATATCACATGGACACATGCTAATAGCAAAAACATGATATGTAGTTATATACTGCCCATTAGTTTTCAGTATAATAAGGACTTAAATGTTAGCTCTGGGCATTATAGTATGGCATGTGATGTGACGACACACATTCTTATGCTGAATCATCTGGATTCTGAACTGTAGCAAGTCAAAGCCGATACTGTAAGCTTGGCAAAGAAACTTGAAGCTCTTGAAGTTTCGAAGCTGTAAGCAATCTTGTCACTTTCTGAAGCCTAGATTATACGTAAACAGCCAAAAATAATGCTTAATTATATGAGGTGCAGAAAGATCTTGGGTGAGAATTTAGGAGGGTGCTCTGCTGAAGAACTGAACTGTCTGGAAGTAAATATTGAGAAGAGTCTCCGCATCATCAGAGGAAAGAAGGTTGGCTAGTCAAAAACTCTTGAATTGCTATAAAACAGGTGAGCTGCTCAATTTTACACAAACTAACCTGAATCTGTGTATGTGTTGACTCCACTGCCATCAGACCCAGGTGCTCGAACAGCAGATAGCTAACCTGAAAGAAAAGGTATACCCCCAAGGCCCCAACTGATGCATAACCCCAAAGGCCAGACTAACTTATGGCCTTTTTCTTTTCTTACAGCAGCCTATATACATAAATAACTCACAGTACACACGCCAACTAATTCTGCATGCTTCTTGTACTATGTTCAGGAGAGGACGCTTCTCAAAGACAACGAAGACTTGCGTGGAAAGGTGATGACTTCTTATACTTTGTTTGCAAGTAAAACTGCAGAGTACCTGATATCTTATATGCAAGAGACAGAGAACATAGCAAATTAGTCTCGCACCCATCATGTATTATGTATGGAATTCTACCAAGTCACTGACGTCGATCTTGTCGCTGCAGCAGCGCGACCTTGAGGCTTCGCTGGTGGTTCCTGCCCTGAACTGCGTCACGCCCCTGCAGCCACGTGGCCAGCTGGCACCAGAGCAGGAACCGGTACCGAGCGACGAGGACGTGGAGACGGAGCTCTACATTGGGTTGCCCGGGGTTCGCTGCTCCAACCGGCGGTCAGGTCAAGCCAAATAGCTAATCAGCCGGAAGGTTGAGCCTCACACAAATAAACTCTCTACAGATGCATGAAGTGGCCAATCAGTAGTCCACCATTTCTGTTATTCTCTATATTTAGACAGAATCTATAATCTCTTGCAAAGCTAAATTAGCGGCTGCGACGATGTCAAACCTGCAGAGAACCTCTGACGACTGAAGGTGAAACGCCAGTACACCAATTGTTTCTTGCGCAACGGCCGGCAAATGGAACTAGGGGAGGCATTCTTGTTAAAAATAATTCTGTAATTAGGGTAAAATCTCCCCTTGCCCAAAACCGTCGTTGCAGTTTGTCCCGCAACCGACGTCTCCCTTTGATCTCCTGGAACCGACGTCTCCTCGAGGGATCGTCGTGTCTCTTCGGGACATATAAAAGGGGGCCTGTAACCATCGATCAAAGGATTTGATCATTCTGATTCAAAACACGTTATCAGCACGATGGTCACATGTGTATCTTCTATCCACACGTCTGGACCTTTCTGGTATTTCATGGTTCTGATTGACGCATCTACACGATGGTCATATGTGTGTCTTCTATCCACACGAAATCATGCATTTGCCAAGATAATGAGGCAAGTCATTAAGTTGCAAGACCTTTGTTGATGAATTGCAACTTGCCAATCTCTTGTTGGGGTCATGCTGTTTTGCACGCTGCTGACTTGATACAATTGAGGCCAACTGCATATCACAATTCTTCCCCTCTGGAATTGGTACGTGGAAATCCTCCAAGCATTTCCCATCTGCGTAAGTTCGGATGTGCTGTATACATCCCGATCTCACCACCACAGCGGACATCTATGGGCCCACACAGGAAGTTGGGGATCTATGTGGGGTACAAATCGCCGTCGATTATTAAGTACCTGGAACCCCTGACCGGGGATATGTTCACAGCCCGTCACGCTGATTGCATATTTAATGAGGAACATTTTCCGGCATTAGGGGGAGATTTCAAGTACCAGAAAGAATGCTCGGAAATTGATTGGAATGCTCATTCCATTTCATCCTCTGATCCACGTACCCATGAGACCGAACTTCAAGTTCGAAAGATCATTAATTTGCAACATCTTGCAAATAATCTGCCAGATTCATTTACTGATTTGAAAGGTGTTACAAAATCCTTAAACCCGGCCAGAAACGCGCCGGAAAGAGTGGAGGTATCAATAAAAACCACTCAACTCCCTATCCCTAAAAAGAGGGGGAGTAGTACGGCCTCTGACCCGGAGCATGTTTCTAGCAAGCAGCAAAGGAAATCGAGGAGAAAAACCTCGGAGTCAGTAAATGCAGGTCAACTCAACGTTGACAAACACCTGATGGGTAGTATACATCCAGTGGAAGGGCAACCTCCACAACCCAGTTCCAGTGTGCAAAAACTGACTGGGACATCGGAACACCGAGACTCGATCGTATTGGGAAATCACGAAGAGTCATTAGGGGTACAGGAAACTTCCATCAACTATGTTGATTCTGGAGAATTATTTGACCGTAAGACTACGACTGTCGACATATATTTTGCTGAAAAGATTGTAGATACCCTTCTCACTGATCATGATCCAAGGTCTATCGTTGAGTGCCAAAAGCGCTCCGATTGGCCTAAATGGAAGGATGCAATCCAAGCAGAAATTGCCTCGCTTAACAAAAGAAAGGTATTCATTGAAGCAATACCTACACCTCCCAGTGTTTTCCCTGTGGGATTCAAATGGGTTTTTCTCCAGAAACGGAATGAGAACAATGAGGTGGTGAGATATAAAGCAAGGCTCGTAGCACGTGGTTTCACGCAGAAACCCGACAGTGATTTCACTGAAACATATTCTCCAGTAATGAGTGCAACCACTTTCCGATATCTTATAGCTTTGGCAGTGCAAAATCGTCTATCTATGCAGTTGATGGACGTCGTGACCGCATATCTTTATGGGTCACTAGATTCGGACATATATATGAAGGTTCCTGATGGAATCTCTGTCCCGAATAAAAATGCAAAACGCAACATGTATTGTGTAAAGCTAAAAGTCACTATATGGCTTAAGGCAGTCGAGACGGATGTGGTACAACCGACTCAGCGAGTTCCTTCTTCGGAAAGGTTACTCCAATAGTGTTGATTGCCCATGTGTTTTCATCAAGAAGTCCTCTACAGGATTTTGCATCATTTCTGTGTATGTTGATGATCTCAACATCATTGGCAGCACACCAGACATTGATGAAGCATGCAATCAACTAAAGATGGAATTTGAGATGAAGGATTTGGGTAAAACCAAATTTTGCTTAGGTATTCAACTTGAGCACCTTCCCTCAGGAATCATGGTACACCAATCTGCCTATATCCAGAAAATATTGGAGAAATTCAATATGGACAAATCCTATCCATCTAAAACTCCCATGGTGGTTCGATCTCTAGACGTAGAGAAAGATCCGTTCAGACCAAGGGATGATGGAGAAGAGGTGTTGGGACCTGAAGTTCCATACCTTAGTGCTGTTGGAGCGCTTATGTATCTTGCAAATTGCACAAGACCTGATATTGCATTTGCAGTGAATCTAGTTGCTAGACATAGAGCAGCTCCTACCAAACATCATTGGTCTGGAGTGAAGAATATCTTTCGATATCTCCAAGGCACAAAGGATCTTGGCCTATTTTTCCAGTTCTAGAAAAATCAGGACTCTGATGTGATTGGATATGCAGATGCCGACTATTTGTCTGATCCCCATAATGCCAGATCTCAGACCGGCTTCGTTTTCCTACATGGTGGCACTGCTATATCATGGAAGTCTTCGAAACAGACTCTGGTGGCAACATCTACCAATCATTCTGAAATAATTTCATTATTTGAAGCAACATGCGAATGTGTATGGCTTCGCAGAATGATAAACCACATACAACAGTCATGTGGAATGGGTTCGATAAAATCACCTACCATTATCTACGAAGATAATGCGGCCTGTGTTGCGCAGATGCAAATAGGATACATCAAGAGTAATATCACAAAGCATATTTCTCCTAAATGGTTTTTTCCCCATAATCTTCAGAAAAGCGGGGAAATAAGCATTCTGCAAGTCAAATCATGCGACAACCTTGCTGATTTATTTACCAAGTCTCTACCAAATTCTACATTCCAGAAATGTGTTCATGGAATTGGTATGCGAAGACTTAGGGACTTGCAGGTGTCAGGGGGAGTCTCTTCTTGAGATATCCTCGTTTTAATGACATCACATTATGCTATCTTTCTTTGTGAGTATATGTTTCAGGATCTCAGCAAAGATTTTATGAAGAACTTTTGAAGGAGAATCTTTTAAGATGATAGAGCTTCCCGGACAATCGTGAAGATGATCTACATGGTCAAGCATAGATTAGGGGGAGTGTTAAAAATAATTCTGTAATTAGGGGAAAATCTCCCCTTGCCCAAAACCGCCGTTGTGGTTTGTCCCGCAACCGACGTCTCCCTTCGATCTCCTGGAACCGACGCCTCCTCGAGGGATCGTCGTGTCTCTTAGGGACATATAAAAGGGGGTCTGTAACCATCGATCAAAGGATTCGATCATTCTGATTCAAAACAATTCTTATGCTATGGGACGCAAACCTCCTGGATGTGACGAACATTGTCGCCTTGACCTACTGTCCCTCAGCCATGGTTCGGATCCGCAAAACAAATGTCTGCTTTAAGGTCACATCTATGGACTTACCGTCTCTACTTGTAAAGATGCCTTCTTTGCCCAGTTGATTAGCCATAAACCGCTGCGTGGGGTGGCTTGGTTGGCCTCCGGAGACTTCAACCAGATCTATCGGGCTAGGGACAAGAACAAAAGAAACATCAACCGGAGCAGAATTAACTGGTTCCGTGCCGCTTTGCAGTCCTTTAAAATAGATGTTTCACCTGGAGTAATGAGAGGGTGAACCCGACTCTATGCAAGCTAGACTTCTTTTGTAATGTTGAATGGGATACAACATCCGATACACATGTTCTACATGCCTTGTCGTCATTCTGACCACTGCCCTCTCCTGCTCGTCGATGACAAGGGGCCGCGGTCTTTCAAGTTTGAGAACTTATGGGTCTCATTGCCTGGGTTTATTGACGTGGCGCGAAAGGCGTGGAATGAGCGAGCGAACCATTCAGAGCCCTTTCAAGTCTTGCACCACAAGTTGAAGAAAACCGTGCTCCATCTCACCGAGTGGAGTAAGAAGCTCTTCTCGAAGGCAAAAGTTCACCTTCATGCGGCTCTGCTCGTCATTCTTTGCCATGACGCCGAGTGGAGCAAGAAGCTCTTCTCGAAGGCAAAAGTTCATCTTCATGCGGCTCTGCTCGTCATTCTTTGCCTTGACATTGCGTAAGAATTGCGTCCACTCTCCCCCGACGAGATTGACCTCCGCTCCCGCCTTAAGTGGAGAGTGGTCAGCATGGTGTTGCTAGAAAGGGCTAGGAAAAGCCGATGTGTGAGGATTGCAAAGTTGAAAGATGGCGACGTAGACACAAAAAAATTCCGCCGCCGCATCAATGCATGGAGAAGAAAAAAAATCACATTCATAGGATCAAGCACGGGCATGGTTGGATAACCGAACACGGGAAAAAGAGAAGATTATACTTCACCACTTCACCGAGGTTATGGGAAGAGGGGCCTCGAGCAACAAGGATTTTAATTGCGATGAGCTCCCTTGTGAGCAACATGACTTACATGACCTTGATGCGCCCATCACCGAGGACGAGGTTTGGAACACAATTAAGGAAATGCCTAGTGACAAGGCTCTCGGACCGGATGGCTTCACCGACATCTTTTTCAGGAAGTGTTGGGGTTTTATCAAGCGTGATATCATGAGGGCCATCCAGGGTTTTGACTCCCTCAACAGCTCCAATCTTCAATGGCTAAACTCCACCGATGTCGTGCTATTACCAAAAAAGGAGGGTGCGGAAGGCATTTCCGACTACATGCCCATTAGCCTCAGCCGCATCGTCGCCAAAATCATTGCGAAGGTCCTCTCTTTAAGGCTTGCCCCTCAC